AAAAAAAAAAAAAAAAGGCAATAATTCCAAAAAAGAAAAGGTGACAACAAAGAAAAACTTATGCTACTGTACAATGTTAATTAGCATACACCTTGACTTTGTGTTTTAGTATCTCAGAGTTATGTACCTGGGCTTTCTTAAAGCTGTTTTCATTGGGTTTTTTTGAGACTTTTTATTAGACTTTAGTCTGACTTGACTGGTATACAGGTAGCACATTGTTATAATTTTATGTATTTTTATTCTAATGTTGTGTTAAATCTAATCTTAAAACACTTTTCACAACTAAATTTTTCATTTTTAACTTAATAGAGTGGAAGACGAAATGTTGATTTGGATTTGGCATCATCTCATAGAAAGAGAGGTAAGTATTAAGAAATTAAAAATCTGGTTAAATGATGTAGCTGTTTTTATATCTGATGTATTTAGATATGATTGTCTTTGAAACATTGCAAAAACAAATTTAGAAACATTTTATTGGAAGAGTTAAAAGGAAATTATTTTCTTTAACATACACCCTTTTAAAACAGAAATGTCTAAGAGTTAATAACCAGTCTGTTTCTCATTTGTCATGTGTTTTGACTTTTTAAAAAGTTGTGTGGAACTCCAAAAGTAATGCTTTACATTATGGGGGGTTATGTACATTATTTGCTGTGTTTTAGTTCACTGGTACAGTTGCCATAGTTTAATGGTATTACATGAGAACTCTCCTCCACTCACCTCCTGTCTCTGCATGCACACTTTCAGAAAGTTTCCACTTTTTTTTTTTACTCTTTGCCTCTTAAGATACAGCATGTAAGACATAAGCTTATGATTTCTAGACAAATTTTCCCATGAGGAACAATTTTACGAGTGTTATCAAGAGTTTAGCTTGTTTGTTAGAAGCTCTTTCTTAGTAAATAATACAGTTAACTCTTGGTTATATATAAAAATGTATGGAAAGGACAGCTGTTTCAGAGACTCTAAATTCAAGGATACCTAAAACTCCCCAAGTATTGCTCTCTATTAACTGGCACTTTTATTAAACCCATTTATACTGTGGTTGTGAAAATGTGAAATGTTCAACATTGGTGCTAGTGGCAATTTTTAAGAGCCTGTGGGAAAAATTATTTTCTGTGATAGTAAGTCTTCTGTACTTCAAAACCAAACCCTTCTCTTGATAGCTTCCTTGGCAGAATGTTCAGTTCCCCCACAGGAAGCAAACTGAGAGATGAGGGAAAACTGAGGAATGAAGGGAAGAAATGCATGCACAGTTTTTTCATTTGTGTGTTTATAACTTAGAGGAAGAAATGTTGGCATTCTGTCAAATAAAATATGATACTTTGTCCTTTAATTAGAATACAGAGAATGATTTTTCTGAAATACTAAGAATAATGACTAGAACTGGTACTTTGTTTATTTGAAAAGTCTTTGGAAGCTATAACATAGCTGTTGGGTTTTTTTAAAAAATCATAAGGTTATTTGTGATATAAAAATAATTAAATGATGTTTAGTGTAATGTGCAATATGTATTTTATTATTTTATAATTCTTTGAAAATTGGGAGTTCATGTGTCATAATTATCCAGAAAATCCTTTTTGCATAACCACTTGACGTAGAAATTAAAATTTTGGTTAGCTCAGGTGAGCACTGTTGCTAAAATTTCTGTTATATGTGTATCATTTGGTGCTAGAGAGACAATGGCTCCAAACTTAATGAGTAGCATAAGGGATCCAGTCTTTAGTAAGAGCCTCCTGCTGTACTGATTATATTTATGCATGATAGTCCATTAGCTAAAATTATTTTCTCTTAAACCTTTATCCTGTGAGATTTAGTCTATATTAGCCATGTCAGTATGTGCAAAGTAATGTTTAGAATAAAACAGAAAGTGATATCTTTTCTCTGAATTACAAATGACCTAGAATTTCATTGTAAATTACTTAGGAAAAATAGCTAGAACACTTCACAGTTACTGTCCTAGAGTTGGTTTCTGCTCAAGTTTTTAAACTGTTATCCTATGAGTAGATGTGGAGTTTCTATAGTTGTAGGTATAAGGAGATACAAATGAATGAAGCCATTAATCCAAATATTGTTTGTGGATAAACTACCTTCTCCAAAAAGCTCAAGGCAGTACCAAAACCTATTAACTTTTTGGAATTTAACTTTACTTTGTTGAAAACAGAAAAGCAAATATAGGACCTCATGGGAAAAGTTTTTTTTTTTTAATTATTCACTTAGGAAATTATAATAGGGAGGGAAACTAGTTATATAAATCTTCATGATATCACTTAATATGGTACCAGTTTATCCTAATAATCATTGCATTTTAATGTTCCCAGAGAAAAATCTGCTGATGGCTTTGTTCTTAGGAATAGGTGACTAGAAAGTAGAAGAATTACTCTTTTAGGAAGGCAGCAAAAATAGTTTTCAATCTAATGAATACTAGAGCTTACAGATTAAACAATGAAAATGTACACTTAATAGTTTTCTTATAGATTTCCTTCTTTAAAATAAAAGAACATTGAAAATACATTAAGGGGAATATATTTTGAAAGGAATTTTTAAAAATTATTTGTATTTAGTGACTACCTTCAGACCGCAGTGGTTTGTTTTGTTTTGTTCTTAAATAATGGTAGAATAAACAATCCTATTTTTTCCTTATTTATTGTCAGTTTGGACTAGATGCCTATCTTCATTTGGGCAAACGAATCAAGTCAGAACTGTTTGGGGCCATTTAGGTGTTCTGATTATAACTTGAGCTGTGAAGGACAAACAGATGCCCTGCCAAGTGACAATTCTCCTATGCTCTTGTTTACCCCTTTCCAGTATTTTGAAGAGGAAATGACAATTTTTTCCCTTGCGTAGCTTTTGTACTTACTAGTCTCAGTGGCCCTGAGTTATTAAAAACCTAGTAAAAGAAATTAGAGATAAGTTACTATGTGACATTCACTGAAATTAAATGGATGTATCAATAACAATTAATGGTTGTATACTCGTTTCAGCTGCTCTTCTTTTCCTTCCAAAGGCTCCTCCTTGGGAATGCTAGTGCCTATAATTTCAGTGTTTGGCATTGGGGATACTAGGATTCATGCTTTTGAACCATGATTGCTGCTTCTTGCCTCATTCAAGTTAATCTTTCACAATTGGTCCAAGCAAGCAAATATGGTAGGAATGGGTAGAGCACATAGAGCACATAAATGTAGCTGTTTGCTCATCTGTTCAGAGGCATTAAAGCTAAATTCTAAAACCAAAAAAATGTCTTAAATTACTTTAAAAAGAGATAGGTGAAACATTTCTGCTTAGTGCCTCAGAGATAATAGGACAGTTTGTATTCATTAAACACCTGTAAACTACTTCCATATGCCAGTCATTGTTCTGATGCTTAAAACATATTAACTCATTTAATTCTTAAAACAGCTCGTCAAAATTTTATACAAAACCTGTTAAATGTGTTGGTATTTTGGTACTTTGATAAATACTTAAAAGATTTGCTGTAGTTGTGTAGAACTGAGCTCATCCATCGCTGAAAGAAGATACCTAACTTTGCAGATACTTAACTTTAGTTTTCATACTTAAGCTGAACCTGGTGCAGTGAAAAATGGTAGGGATACCAAAGCAGCAATTTAAGAAGCAACATCAGGAATCTTATTAGTTAAAATACTGTATGACTTGATTTTTTTCACTCCTTAGGCCTTATAAATAAAGTGTTAGGGTTTTACAGCTAAAAATAATACTGGAAACATTTATCAGCATGTGTGTTTCATGGTATAACATGTATGGGTGAAATGCTGTTTTTATCTATGCATTTCAAATTAGATTATATAAAGAAGAGCAAATGTAAATGTTGTCTCCTGTATCAAATTTCTCCTTTTGTCTTCTGATTTTTGTGTGGTAGTGTATTTACTCCTTTTTGGCCAGTTGAGCCCCAGAAAAAAGAAGAGCTTCAAGCAAGTACATGATGGCATGTTTAATTTTTTTCCCCTTTTAGCTTGCCTACATATTTTATGGTTTATAAAGTATGTATTGCAGCTCTGCCATGTTCATTTTGAAAATTCCATTTAAGAACCAAAATTGTAAGGACAAGTAAACCATCTCAAAAAAAGTCTTGTTGAACTTTGTATTTCCTTTTTATAGTAGATGACTCTGAAATAATACTAAGAACTGGACTTAGTCACAATTACTCTATAGAAGCTTTTATTGTACTTTTCAGACACAGTATTTCCTATATTCCAGTGAAACAATATTGAACAAACCAAAGTTAATCAGGTTGTTACAATTTTTTTTTAAAGACTTAAGAATTCTTTCATCTCTCATTTCCATAATATAAGTTTTTGTTTTAAAGTATTTTTGATGTCAGCCTAAATATTTGGCTTACGGTTATTTTATTTATTTATCCTAATGTTTTCATATGCTGCTTTTCCTGTTCTTTCTTTTAGTCATACAGAATTTTGTTTGGGTCATATACCTAATAAGTTGCATGTTTTACGTTGGGGTCAGCAAAGTATGCCTGGTGAACCAAGTCTGGCCTGCTACCTCTTTTTGTAAATAAGGCTTCCTTGGAATGCAGCCACACTCATTTGTTTATATACTGTCTGTGACAGCCTTCCTATTACAACAGCAGAGTTGAGTGGTTGCAGCACAGACCTTTAAGACCCACAAAAACCTGAAATATTTCCTGTCTGACTCTTTATACAAAAAGTTTGACCCTTGCTTTAATTTGCCAAGAGGATTTTAATGGGTTGGTCACCCATTTCTAGAACATTTTGGGTTATATCAAAGCAATTCACTCTTTGTATATTCTTCATAGTCAAACCTTTGTGTAGGCAGGCAGTTGACATTTCCGTGTATTGGTGACTCATGAAGTTGATTAATAACAGGAATTTGTAAGATCACCTCCCTCCCATAAAATTAAGGAATTAGCATTATTAATTTTACAGATCAAATTTTTGACCTCCATTTCCTCAATTGGAATTTGAGGACTGGATAATCTTCAAGGTCTCTTTTACATCTGTGGTTCTAACACTAGCTCATTGCACATTTTATTTTCATTTTGAAAAGTAATTTGTAAGTATTGGAAAACAGAACATTTTATTCTGAAATTTTATTATTGAACAAACAAGCTCAGTGCAAAGAGCCAGAAACTATTATTTGTAAGTTAAGGCTAAATCCACATTCTGGATTTGGGGTGCTTACGGAAATGGAAAATGATTATTTCTTTTTTTTTTTTAATTAGCTTCTGCTTTATTCTTTATAATTTTTAATTTAATCCATTATGCATACTTGGCATTATTCTTTGGGTTGTTTTACTCTTTTCTGTTTTACATGAAAAAAATAATCAGCTGTCCAGTTTGGAGAATTTTTCAGATTGGTTATTTTTCATGCTCAGTAAAACTGAAAATTCAGCATTTTTTAATCTTAAGAATTCTTGCTAAAACATGGAAGGCAGAGTAACCATGTCTTCTTTGCTATTCTAAATTATTCTAGTAGAATGCATATAAATTAATTCAGTTACTTTATAATATTAGCTAAATTTCTACATCTGATTTTGAAGTCCTGGGGTTTTATTGACACCAGTGTAGTAATTCAGAAATAAGTCAGGCAATCGTTATTTATTAATTTTTTTTCTCCGTGGGCATTAGTGTTTAAATAGTTCTCTTTCCATATCTTTTCCATCTAGTTATACAACAAAACAATTTTTGGAATGCATATTTTATTGACTACCTTAAGATGCATTCCTAATAGAGAAAGTTGGTATATTCATGTGATAGGACATTATACAGTACTCACACAAATGAATTACAGCTACATGTAATAATGTGAATGAATATTGGCAATATACTGATGGAAGAGAGTATGCCCACAAAGATTACATAAAATGATACTTCTTTATAAAGTAAAAACTCACTAAAACTAAACATTATTTGTCTTGGCAATACATATAAGATAAAACAATATTTAACATTAATAAAAGCAAAGGAATGATAAACCCAGGCTTAGGGATAATATAGCCTTAGGTAGGAAGAGATATGGAGAGATGGATTAGAGGAGGAACAGATAGGTAGATACAAGTTACTATCAGTTTTCTAGTTCTTGTGTTCACATTTATTATAAATAAATATAAATACAAAAGCAGGCCATGTGTGGACCAGTGATAAGAGATTATCATGAGCCAAGGATTATGGTTAATCTAATTCATGTACCTGACATCAATTAAATTAAAAAAAACAAAGCTTGTAAGAATTGGACATTTATATATTTATTTAAAGCTAATATTGGCATATGACTTGTTGTGTTCAAACATACTAACGTATTTGTTGTCTAATGTTTTAGTCTGTTTAGTCTAGAAAATGTCCACTGGCAAAACTAATGATATTATATTTAGCAACTATTGTAACATCACTTGGTAATTTTAAATAGATATCATTTTACTTCGAATCTCATATATTCTTGTCTGTGAAACTTTGCTTCCTCTATATAGGAGTTTCACAACATGCAGTAAATATGCATATGACACAGTGAAAGTGTTCCTTATATTAATGAAACCCAAAGGGTGATGTTTGTGTCTCCTTTTTGTATAAGTTTACTTGCCCTTCTATATCCATTTTTTGGTAATGTTTCATTGCAGATATGTAGACACTTTGCTCAGTCTTAACTTACTCTTTGCAATGATAATGTTAAATTGGATAAAATTCTAGTACTTGTAGGTCTTACAAGCAGTGTTCCAAGTGCCTAGTTCTTTTGTGTTCGTAAATGATGGTCTAGTTTAATATCGCAGAGCATTTTAAGCTAAGCATTTTGAGAGCAGCTTCTGCCTTTCTTTTTCTTGTGGCAGTGTGTTGCTAAAGCGCTTTCAGAGACACTGATACATCAAACAGGGCTTTCCCTTTATTTTCTTACATTGCTCTGGTTTTTGTTTGTTTTTTTGTTTTTACCAAAGCATTTTGCTCAGATTCACTTAATGCATGCATGTAATTCAAACGTGAGTGTCCATTTCTCACCAGTTGGTATGGTAGCAGCACTCAGCCCTCCCCTAGTTTCAGAATGTATGCTCTACTTGGTTGTTATTGATACATGTTTGTTCTGTTTGTATGTAGGTCCTATGCACAGTCAATTGGAATCCTTGAGTGACTCTTGGGCTCGCCTGAAACATAGCAGAGACTGGTTATGCAACTCCTCTTATTCCTTTGAGTCTGATTTTGATCTTACCAAGTCTTTGGGAGTTCACACTTTGATCGAAAATGTTGTAAGCTTTGTGAGTGGAGATGTGGGGAATGCTCCAGGTTTTAAAGAGCCAGAGGAAAGTATGTCTACGAGTCCCCAGGCCTCTATCATTGCAATGGAACAGCAGCAGTTAAGGGCAGAAGTAAGTCTTTGATACTTACTCCTCAAGAGGCACTGTGGAAACTTAAATGGAATCACTGACTGTACAATAGTAGAAAAAATTTTTCCTTTTCATCTACTCTTTGCCTCTCCCTCTCCTCCACCTGAACTTTTTGATGTCACTATCATATAATGGCATAATATATTGTTTGAAATGGACAAGTGCATTTTTAATTGCCATCTCTTAGAACAAGATACTGTAATCTTAAGTCTTGCCTTGTCTCCTAGAAACTAAAATGAGACTGGCTGGTGAGCATATACATCTGCTTCTTAGAGCCTCTGGTTTTGACCCATTTGTCTCCACTTAAAAAAGGCTAGATTAGGACACCACAGTAGTAATGATGAATGCTGAAGTTAGTGAACAGAACTTTAAGGGGACCTAACATGCCTGTGTAGCCTCATAGTATTTCCCTCAAAATATTTATTATTCTGGTTTTAACATGTACACAAATTCTTTAATACTCTTCCTTTAGGATGTGGAGGTTAATTCCCGTTCTCTTAAAGTAAGCAGGACTTAGTGTCTCGGAGCTAGCAGAGTATGAAAAGGGAAAAACATGAATAATTTTACATTGCAGAAGCCTGACACACATCACCTTAGCCAAGTGATCAAGATTAACATTATCAACAATAAGTTATAGTGACATCATACATCCCTGAAAATAATGTGTTGAGAAGAGGACTTTATAGTATTTTCCCCTAAATCCATAACTCTAGTCCAGTCATGAAAAAATATCAGGCAAGCCCAAATTGTGGGACATTCTGTAAAATACATGAACAGCTCTTTCGAAGGAAAGATGGCAACTGGGACAGACTAAAAGAGACTATGGAGACATGACAACTGAATGCAAAATGGTATCCGGGATTGGATCCTGGAACAGAAAAGGAACATTTTGGGAAAACTGGTAAAATCCAAATAAAGTCTGTAGTTTAGTTATAGTGATGTACCAGTGTTCATTTCTTAGTTTTGATAAATGTACCATAGTCACCTAAGATGGTAACATTAGTGGAAAGTAGGAGGAAGGCATACAGGAAGAATCTATACCATGTTTTCAACCCTTCTGTACTATTGTTAAATGTACAGTTATTTCAAAATAAAAAGTTATTGAAAAAAAAAAAAGAGGGATAGGCTGATGGACTACAGTGGTAGGTTTTGCCCTCCTAGCTAGGGACGAGAGAGCCAGATGTTCAAGAGACCCACAGAGAAACCTTCCAGAAATTCTTTTTCTAATTCTTGAACGAAACACTATTCATTCTATTTAACTTCCCTGTAAGTGAAGGAAGCAATAATCATAACACTTTATGGTTTTGAACCCTTATATATATATATATATCTCCTCATGAGCATCACAGTAGCTATGTGAGTAGGTTAGAAAAAGTACTATAGGATTAGCCTTATTTGACACATGAAGAAACTGAGATACAGAAAGTTAAGTGAGTTTCCTAAGGCCACAAAGTACATGGAAGAGTCTGGCCTTGAAATTAGGTCTCATACATCCAGATCTGCTTTGCTCATGGTCCTGTGTAGCCTCTTAATTACTGAAGTGTGCTAGTAGAGTTTTTAGAAATATTTTGATTTTAATGATAAAATAAATGTCTACTTTAATAGAATAGAGCCCTAAGAAACGTCAGGATTTTCTGTGCTAAGTATATTATCTGTGTTGGAATTCCTTTGTGTCTCAGTTCAGTGAAGAACTCTAAAATATATTCATTTTGCTTTTCTCAAGCTACGTTTAGAAGCACTTCACCAGATCCTCGTTCTTTTGTCTGGGATGGAGGAAAAAGGAAGCATCTCTCTGACAGGAAGCAGATCAAACTTGGGCTTCCAGTCATCCACACTGCTCACGTCTGTGAGGCTGCAGTTTCTAGCAGGGTGTTTTGGTTTAGGCACTGTGGGACATGCAGGAGCCAAAGGAGAGAGTGGCCGATTGCATCACTATCAGGTAGGTGACAGATCTGGCGTGTGAGGATGCACCTTGCAGTATATTCAGATTCTGGCCATTTTTATTTTAAACATCAGTTTAATAATGCTAAGGTTTCTGGTGTTTAACATTGAGATTTAAAAATATAAAGACTTTTAAATGACTCTTAAAGCTATCTAAGTCGTTTAGTTTCCTGAGTAATAGTAGTATAGTGGAGATTAGGTGAACTATGGTACTGTTGTTTTTTTAGATCCTCTGCTGGCTCAGTTGTCATAACCCTTAGCCAAATTGGATAGAGATAGATCTAATTTGGGATAGGGATTGGTGTTTGGGAGGATGGGTTTCCAGAATTTACATTTATACTTTTATCATTTTACCCAGTTTCTCTGATGACTTGAAAAAAATTTTTTTTGAGTGTTACCTTTATGTCTTCCATATTTAGAGAAGAAAAATTGCTTTGTGGGAAAGGAGAAAGAATATATAGAATCAGGAATTGTCAAGCATTTAAATATAAATTTATTATAAAGCTTTTATATATTGAACCATACTGAATAATTAAAAACTGCCATAGGACTCTAGCACAGAGTAGGATAAAATGCTATTACTTTTATTTGGTAGGAGGTGTCATTGTTACTAATAGAAAAAGTAAATCTTTATTCAGGATGGGATCAGAGCAGCTAAAAGAAATATTCAGATTGAAATCCAGGTGGCTGTGCATAAGATTTATCAACAGTTGTCTGCTACCCTAGAGAGAGCTCTACAGGCAAATAAGCATCACATTGGTGAGTAACTGCCCCCACAAATATAAGATGCAGGTTACATTTTATGCTAGATACTTAATGTTCTATATCTTGTTTTAACATTAATAGGTCAATTTATATGTAAAAGAATACATATTTGAAAATGTAGTGGTGTTCCACATTACTATTTATATTTTTGAATATGCTTTGTTTTAGTGTGTTGTTTACTTCAAAGAAAATTCTCAATTGTCTTTCTTTCTTTTTTTTCTAGAAGCCCAGCAACGTCTCCTTTTGGTTACAGTTTTTGCTCTGAGCGTTCACTATCAACCAGTGGATGTTTCTTTGGCAATTTCCACTGGTCTGCTAAACGTATTGTCGCAGTTGTGTGGTACAGACACCATGCTGGGACAGCCTCTGCAGTTACTGCCAAAGACGGGTGTTTCTCAGCTTAGTACAGCTTTAAAAGTGGCTAGTACAAGATTGCTCCAAATTCTAGCTATCACTACAGGGTGAGCATTATAGATGTCTTGATGGAACTGTATGGCACCTGGTCTTTTCTCATTTGAGTAATTTCCACTTCCCCCTAATGTCCTTTGTGTGTTTAAGTACATTTACCCTACTATGTTATTACCCTTTTTTTTCGCTGTTACTTCATGTAGGACTTACGCTGATAAACTGAGCCCCAAAGTAGTTCAGTCCTTGTTGGATCTACTCTGTAGTCAGTTGAAGAATTTGTTGTCCCAAGCTGGTGTACTACTTATGGCCTCTTTTGGAGAAGGGGAAGGAGAAGAGGGTGAAGAAGAAGAAAGAAAAGTTGACTCCAGTGGAGAAACTGAGAAGAGAGATTTCAGAGGTAGCATAACCCTTTTTTTGTCATTATTTACAAGCATTTATTGAGTCCTCATGTGAATATTAGAATGTAGACTTCTTTCTGTTGTGAGGAGTGAAAGGATTTTTTTAGAAAGAATTTTCATTTACTCATTTATAAACTCTTTTGCTCTCCAAATAAGTGTGATTTCGATGAGCTCCTGACTGAACCTCTTCTCTTTAAAGTCTTTTAACCCTGATATAGCAACCATACTGTTCCCTAAGTTCAGCTTCTCCTTGGCTGTCCTGGTTCTAGAATCTAGAGGTTCTAGGTGACTGATTCCCCCAGGTTCTGTTTTCTTAGCATTTGATCCTGACAACCCATCTTTAACCATAGTCTTGACTTAAGTGTTCCCTCAGGAACACAGGTTTTCATATATGGAAACTAGGTTAAAATTAAAGGACCTGAACAGTAGAAGTACTTCCTATATCTGCTACATAATTAAGGAATAAAGATTTAAGATTGGCCATTTCTTAAAGAGATTTTTATGAAACTGCCATGTCTTATTACTGTAATAAACTCTGGGAGACCTTAAATCCTCTCTGGACCAAGATGGCTGGCTGGCTGGCTAGCTAACTAGCCAGCCAGATGAATGAATGGATGGAGAGAGAGCAAGTTACTTAACCTTTCTGTGCCCCCAATTCCCTCATCTGTAAATAAGGATAATAGAACCTTAGAGTGTTTGAAGACTAATTAAATACATGCAAAGCACTTAGAGCAGTGTCTGGCACATAGTGAGAGCTGTGAATGTGGATGTTAATATTCATACTGGAATACTGTACTAAATATTAAAATTAAATAAAGTAATATTTAAATAATATTGTGTAGATAGGTGGGTTGGTAGAGGAAATACCTGTGGATACAAAAATGATAAAACATGGTCTCTACCCTTAGAGACCTTCTAAGGTAACCAGAGAGGCAGACATGTCAACAAATAATTACACTGTAATACAAGAAGCTCAGAAGAAATAGCTAAATCTCTTAAGTCAGAATCTAGGAGGATATATGAGTCTAATTAAGGACTAGCTTTTGGTTTGAGGGGCTACCCCTGTGTCACATTCCTTCTTCCTGTTTATATAAAGAGTGTGGTACTTTTACAAAGACCGTGCCAGACTCACAAGGCATGGTAAAATAAACAAGCTTTTAATGCCTCCTCCTGTTTTTCTGAGATCCAGTGAGGGATACAGGGTGATTAAGGTAATAGTTTCTCACCACTCTGTGCTGAGTACTGCACATATGGACAGCAGGGAAGATCTAATAGAGTTACTTCTCAACTTATAGGCCCCTTAGGAAAACTGGGCCCTTCCATATCTAGTAAAGAAAGAAGCACTTCTTCCGTAAGTGCATCTCAGCAGGTGTAAGAGCAGATGGGATTCACATCCATTCCCCTCAGGTCGTCCTAGAGAGAGGGCTGTTGCACCATCTCTATTCATGGGGATGGCTGGGAGTAAGACTGATGCAAGTCAACGGTGGCCAGCTATTAAAAACCCCACAGACACTCTAAAATACTTAACTGAAAGTAAGGTGTACCTTTGATTTCAAACTGGTATTGGTACTGAAACACATACCATCTCCAAGTTGTATTAACCATCTTTCTATTTAAGGTCTCCAAACTTAATTAATTTAACTAATTAACTAATTTAGTATCATGTTACAGAGATACTTGCTGGGAGTGAGGATGGGGAGTAGGATAGAGCCCTCATAACAGATTTTCCCAAGGATCTCTACCAAGAGAGAAGGCTTCATAGAAGAGGTAGCTCTTGAACTGGATTTTGAAGAATGTGTAGGAACAGGGTTGGAGTAGTATGTGGGTATCCAGCTCAGGCTAATAACTTTATATTCTTCAAACTGATATTATAAAAATATTTGCTTATTAGCATTTAAGTAAAGAAGAGGTAGAGGACCATGTAGAGGAATTGTAGCAGAGGAGTACAATTGTCTCTCATTGTCACCAGCGTTCTAATTCTGTCATAGACATGCACACCCATCTCAGCAGAACAGATGTCCTCTAGTTATGACAAGATGTCTGTGAAAGTAGATTGCTGGCCATTTAAGTGAGGTGCCCTTGGTGCGGGGGTCTCCTTCTAAGTGACTCGTCTGTGTATTCCTTAATTTGACATGCCAGGATCTCCCTGAAAGGAATGCTGTGTATAATACTTGCCTCCAAATCATTATGATTTTGTATGTTTTAGTGCCCTGTAGAGATTGATATTCTGGGCAACTGCCTCACTGGCATACTTCTTCCTCTTGGCTCTGAGTAGGATTTGCCAGGCTGAGAGGGTATGAAAGGTGATGGATGATGATAGAACGTGGTGTGTTACAGGAAGAGCAGATAGTCCTTTGGCCTAAAAATGCACAGGGTGGAGGGAAACTATGAGAGGCGCGACAGGAGAGAAGCCGGTACTGATACTCGTGGAAAAACCGAGAAGATTGCTTAGAGCAAGTTTATATAAGAGATATACATGGAGTTGGTGCTCAGGCAAACCAGACACAGCCTTAGAAATGTGTTTCTTTGTAGAATCTGAAAACACAAAGTCTTCTTTAGGGATGTGATTCTTAATTTGATGGGGCTGGGGGAGGTCACAGACGTTTCGAAAATGTGAATCAAGTTGTGAACTCTTTTACTAGTCAGATGTACACACAGTTTTCATACAACTTTAGGGGGTTCACAGACCATTTCTCTCAGATTCTACCTCATAGAACTCTAGACTTGGATAGAGAACTGTTGCATTTTAAAATAGCAGTAAAAAAAAAAATGCACAAAACCAAGTACACATACTTTGTTCTAGCAACCTCACTATTATTGTACACAGATGTAAAAAATGTTTTTAAGTTCGGCTTTGTTTTCTGACCTTTCCCCATGGTGTTCTTTAAGTTTTAAAAATTCAGCAGCCAACTGACAACTTAGATTTTGAATTAGGTTTGGGCTAACTACAATCTAAATGCAAGTTACTTGGTATGACTTTTTCCTGTTGATTTTTGGTTGTAATGTAAACTTTTCTGTTTACTCTTCAGCTGCTCTTAGGAAACAACATGCAGCAGAACTGCATCTGGGGGATTTTTTAGTTTTTCTTCGCAGAGTTGTATCTTCAAAAGCAATTCAATCAAAAATGGCTTCCCCAAAATGGACAGAGGTGCTTCTAAACATAGCATCTCAGAAGTGTTCTTCAGGTATATGACTTTTGCCTTATTTTAGAGTGTTTTTATACATTACGTGTATTTTATTCAGATAATACCACACTTTAACAACATTGAATATTTGACCTTGATTTCAAGACTTTTGTTTTCTGAGTACTTACTCGGTCAAAAGAAAAGTCCAATTTCAGGAGTAAAATTTGATAGGAATTAATAGAAAGTAGCACCAGGCTAGATTATGGATTTAATCTAAAGAGAACTTGGCTCTATTTGTTTGGATTACCATAATAAAAATAAGCAGAGAACATCCTGTTTAATAATTGGTGCAGATTTTGATGTCACTTGTTGGATTATCAAAATGCAGGTCTGATTGTCCGTTCTCTATAATCATAACATGATTTCTGTTGTCTTGATTGTAACTTCTGATTGTATGCTGTCTATGTGAGGTCTATGTAATAAGCTTAACTCCAGGTTCTTAGTCTAAAAGTCTGGTCAGCCTTCATAGATTACTGTCAGTCCTTTCCTAGTCTTTTTTTTTTTTTTTTTTTTT